GGGCAGGGATGCCTGGCTTGGTTGAAGCAGATGAGCTGGGATGGAAGCAAACCCACCCTGCGAAGGAGTGTGAGGTGGCCACAATGCAATGCATCCTGGGATGCTGGGGGAACTGCGACCTAACTTGTGTCAAAAGGGATCTGGAACAGAAGTTCAATAGACCAGTCTAAACTAGTGATTCAATCTGATACTACATCCATCTATCTTAAACCACTTATACTGGTTTATATATAACTTCTGTCCCTAACCCAAAGTGTTATATGATATGAAACTAAAAATGCCACAGGTCAGCAGGCAGCGTTCTCTATACCTGAGCATAGCTATTCCTAAGTGCACACGATGGTTTGTGGAAGTCACAATGATGTCAGTTGGGCTTGAGATGCATATACTTCAGTGAAGAATCGGGTTTCAATGCAAGTGTCTAGACTGCTGCTAGGGCTCTCCCCAGAAGCATAGCCCTCATCTACTAGCTTTAGCTCTTGTTCTTCTCCTGCTGAGACTAGAAATGAGACAGTAAAGCTGCTTGTGGGCACCCCTTGCTGCCACTCTCAGGCCCACCAGTGCCATAGAGCTCAAGAGTGGTGGCAGAGGTGCTCCTAGGAAGACTTCTGAGTTTAGCAAGTGTGGCGCAGGAGTGGGTGACCAGGGTGTACTTAGCAGAACTCTTGGGAGTGCTGTGACAGTGGTACAGACAAACCCAAGAGCAGACCCAGGGGGAGTGCAGTGGTGCAGCACCACCTCCCTTTCACTCAACCATGCTGTGGTTACAACACCTGAGGATGATTTTTTGTTTGGGTTTTTTTTTGGGTCCCCAAAGCAAGTAAGAACCACATCTCCCTTCTTTTACATGCTCAGTGGCACCTCCCCTCCCCTCCTCCTCACTGTCCATCCATGCTCACTGTTACCACTGCTGCTTTCTCCAGCTGCCTTGAGATAGAGATGCCAAAGCCACTCCTACTCACTTCATCTAGATGCTGTGAAGAGCTGGGCTCTTCAGGGGCAGTAGCAGCAGTGAGTGGGTTCCTCCTATCTGCCTGATCCCCCTGGTGTTCCCTGCCAGCCTAGGAGTAAGTAAAAGGGAAGGAAATCTGCCTGCTGCTGCTGTCTCTAGCCAAGCCTGCCTTTACATGTAGCCCAGCTGGAGAAGAGAAGGAATGGTTTTGGAGCTACACACTCCCCCTACCCCTGGGTCAGCTGGGGACTGCAGCAGTGATGGGTGGGGAGAGGAGGGATGAATGTACTGCTGAGCATGGAGGGGAAGAGATGGGGAAAGAGAGACTTAAAAAAGTCCCCTGCTGCTGCTCCTGTGGTGCAGTCTGCCCATGCTGATGAGGAGCGGTGGAAGGCTGGAAGCTGGGGTGCAGCCACCCCTGCAGCATGGGTGCTACTCCCACATCCCCCTTTCCAGAATCTTGGATCTGCCCATGGACAATCCCTTCCTGCAAAAGTTCCTGAGCCTGCATCAGAACCTTCTTTTTTTGTTACCAAACATAGCATTACACAAAGCTTATGCATCACCTAAGCCCTAACAGAGGCATTCAGTATTGTTTAGTTAATACAGGACTTATCCACACCATAACAATGCTGTGTCTGCTTGGCTGTTCCCAACTACAGCTTGCCCTCCCATTGCTTCATGCCACTCCAAACCCAGAAATACATTGGTAAGGCTGCTTCAGATTCATCCCTATGTGGCTGCTCTTGAGTCCTCAGTCCTTAGCATACATGAGGGTGACCTTGGAGCATCTTCACCACCAAACTGCTGCGTGTTGAGTGTGCTGTCAGGTTATTGTGGTCTTGGTGTTAGTAATGTGCCCTTCAATTCCAACCTGTTCAAGAATCTGGACATTAGTCTTCCCTATATGTCACTGGGTACAGGCATTATACTTTTACTGGTATAAGTAATCAGAAACCAGTCTATACCCGTAAAAAAACAGAAGATGAGCACACCAAACTGGTCTATATTCATAACAGAATAGAAGTTTGGTGCACAAAGGGTGTGTCTACGTATGCACATTTAATGCACCTTAGCAGTATTTAAAGTGCATTATGGGCGCACACCTACATATGCAAATGCTTAATACACCTTAAAATGGTGATTTCAAGCTAAAATGGTGATGCCTGCTTTATGCAGACATCAAATTTAGGCGTGACTAGCTAAGTTGCATTAGCGAATATGTAGATACGCTAATGTGAATTAATGTGGTGTGTCAATGGATAGACACATTGTTAAGGCACATTAACATGTCTCCATGTGCACTAATGCAACTTATCTATTTGTGCCTAAATTTAATGTGCCTTAATGCACATTAGCGTGTCCATGTGTAGATGCACACCTAAATCACTTTAAGCAAAGGCACATTAAATTTAGGCACATGTAAATACATGTGTAGACATGCCCACAGACTGGTTAAAAAATGGCAGAGCCCAGTCTAAGATTTGCTCCCCACCACCACAAAGGGCAAATGTATGTTGTGTTTGCTACCAGTCTAAACCAGGCTGCTTACAAAAAAATGTGTAATTTACATCTATTCTGCCTTGGGCTTTTTGGTTGTCTGGACCTACTGTAAGTGAACAGCATATTCCGAAGTGACTCCCTTTATGTATTCTCACTGATCCCTGGTGCAGGCCAATGTTTGTTCTCTACTGTAGTCCTGTCTGGTTTTGAATAGTAAATCTAAACATAGAGGTAAAAATGTTAAAAAAGAAAATTGTATTGTATACAACACTTTACCATAGAATGTCACCAATTTATCTATTATTAATTATGTGTACTATAGTAGTGTCTGAAGGCCAGCCAAGAGGGATACCCTATTCTATTTGACATTGTATGACTCAGAAAAGTAAGGAGTGCCCCCAAAGAAGTAAACAGTGAAAAAAGATAAAATGTAGGGTGAAAAGGAAAAACACACAAGCACTCTGACAAATATGAGGGTTCATGCCATGATTTGTTTATTTTTTGGTGGCATTTTACTTAAGAGAAGAGAAGCTAAATGGAAAGGTAAGGGAAGTTAGGGGAACAAAGAGGGAAAAGAGGGTTTGAGGGGCAGGTGAGAAACAAAGGTGAGGTGAAGACACTGTTAGGGTGCCCCCTAAAGCTGCCTCCTCAAATAGCAAGTACTTATTGTCTGGTATCCTATCCATACAAATTTGTATAAGAACTGACACATACAAACCTTCACATGTATTATTCAAGCACCTGTACATGTACACACTAGTGCAGAAAGAGGTGCTGCTTTTTGGATGGGCCTGATTAGTTTTCATTAGCATAACTAGCATAAAATTACTAGAGTCACTGCCACTTGTTTTAACGTGGTTACTGTAGCAGCTGTAATAGATGCAAATGGTTTCAAAACGCAATTTTTGCCCGTTTTGACTGAAACTATAATTTGATCTGATAAGGTATTTGAAGATTCTGTTGTCTCCATTTTTACTACACAATTAATATTTCATTTGGTATTTATGTATTGTATATAGATCCCAGAGTAGATGCTGACCATTCAAAGTGGCAGTAGGCTAGCAGCCATATAAGGTAATTTCTTCCTGGTTGATATTTGACCCTAGCTATTCTTTAGTGGAAAGATAAGAAGAATTCTACTACAGCCTATCTATATAACTGGATACTTCCTGAGCCTGTTGTATTTTGTCACATTTGTTGTTGTAGATATATAGGGTTGGAGTGATACTTGGTTCTTTCAAGATTGATTTTTTGTCATAACCTCTTCTGCCCACTTAGTGACATGTCTTTGAGAGAGCTTTCCAACCACTTACACAGCTCTGTGTAAAAGTATATTTTGCAGTTGTAGAACTTCAGAGTGATTCTGCAGAGATGTGATTTTCTGCAGTGTTTTCCTGAGTCAATTTTTCTGTGCATAAATGTTGTGTGTAGCCTATTGCTGGCTTCTAAGGGGATGCTGGAACACTATATACCATATTTTCACACATACAGCATGCCTCCACATATAGTATACATCTTGTTTTTGAAGGGCAGACTGAAGGGGGGAAAAAAGATCTTTCTTTGTGATAACTGAATAGCAGCACCTAGGGAGCCAAGTCAGCTGCTAGCCCTGTATGCTGGATGGGGCACGCAGACTGACTTGGAATGTCATTTCCAATGCCGCACTGTGGGTTTGACCCTGTGCTCTGGCTCCAGAGCCAGCTGCCAGGTTGGATCTGGCACGCCAAGTCCAGGACCATGTGCTGGCTCCAGGGCCATGAGACAGCTTGGACCTGGTGTGCTAGGCCCGGTCACAGATTGACCCCATGTGCCAGCCTCATCCAGCATTTAGGGTCACGTCATCCGACCAAGGTCCAGAAATTTGGTGCGAGAGGAAAGGTGGCAACGTTAATTACTGTGGCACCCAGAGTCATGGCAATTAACGCTGCCACTACTCCCCCACTGCCAAATTTCTGGACCTGTGAGGTGGGGGGGTCGGTTTTTCTTGAATATAATGCACGCTACTATTTCCACCAGCTGATTTTGGGGAAAAAGGTCTGGGTTATATGTGAGAAAATATAATATTTTAAAACACATACATATTCCAAAACTGTAGTCAGGAGACAGTCCTTACTTTTCTTGCAAAAAGTAAGAAGAGAGTTCTTACTTTTTGCATAATTAACAGGGCACTGCCAAATGTGAATTCTTTAATTCCTTATCTGACTCGCAGCACAAAAGGATTAGCTAGGAGTTAGGAGTAACTAATTGGTTGCATTGTAACTGCCAGCTGAACACTGAAAATGTGAAATTTATATACTTTTTAAACCTGGGTGCTTGTCTAGATATTTTTAAAATAAAGTGAAGTCTGTTCAGTTTAACACCATGAAATTTCCAGTGGCATCAGTTTTACTTCCTTTGATTCATGCTAATTCCATAGTATCTTCTTTGATATTCACTACCTTTCATCAACAAGTATGTAATTATCGGCATTGGCTCAAGAAGGCCAGCAGTGACAGCCCCTGGCTGGACTGTAATAAGGTAAAACATCCAAAGAACACCATGTAAAAACAATAAGGTAGAAGTCATATTTATTGAAAAAAATTAATATATTTGCTATAAAATCTGTAACAGTAATGCAACTGAATATTTATTTTGATGCATAAACCTGAATGTTACATACCAAATACAATACAGTAACACTGGTTTCCTCTTTATTTACATGTTTATGAAAATTGATATGCAATCCATGTCAAAAGAACTTATAATGGAGAATAGTTACATTAGAAAAATAATATTCTTGATAAAGCATTCTCAAGGAGTCCAATCACATTTTTAGGCCTCTTTCAATAAGGCAAAAATCCCTGGTACAGCATATAACTTAATTTACAAAATACAATAACTGTTCAGACACATCTTCAAGTTTTCTTTTGGTATGCTTTTCTTCACTGTAAAATTACTTAATTTTCTTACTAAACGGAAAGACTTTCAGTAACATAACTTAATGAGTTCTACTATATATTACATATACATTGCTGTAGCTTAGCAACCATACCTGGGCAATCTTGTTTCTTAACTGTTTGCTCAATGAGCTTTCCCTTGGATGTAGCACACATTAGTATCTTGACATTCTTACAATTGTGATATCTTTCTTCAGTTTTCATAGGAAACAAATCTGTCACATTTTGAAACGCCTTTTAATTTTATTTTTAGGAACTGGTGCACAACTACATTTCCACTCACAAGAGAACGTCACAAATGTAACTAAAATTGGGTTGGATAACTCTGAAAATGTACTTCTATGTGCCAAAACCAAATTTCTTACTTTTAATACTTTGTACCCTGCCATGCTCTAGGATTTCTTTTTCTGCATAGCTCCATTACTACTAAGAGTCAAATTGTTTTAATTCCTTCAAAGGCACAAAACTTCCACCTTTTTTCCAGTGTTGCTCCTACACCAGTGAATTCTTGTTTAAACATGCGTGGCAGTCTCATCAAAAGCATTTCTATTTCATTTGCAGAGATCTGTGGAAGAGGGGAAAAGCAAAAATACAATGAAAGGTTACCCTGTACACAGAAAAAGAAATTTAGAAAGTATCATTAGAACTGTTTTCTAGGTAATGAAAAAAAAAATCCTCAAATTTGTTAGTAACAGGTATTTATGTTCTCTTTGAGAGATCATAAAATGTTATGTTTATATACAGAAAGAGTCATGTTCCCACCATGCTGTATAAGAACCTGCTATCCATTTTAGACACTTTTAGATAGATAGTGTGTTCTGGAAGAAAATGTTAATTTTCCAAAAGGCTGGGGTAGACAGGACTCCAAGTGCTTTTTGTACTGGAAGGAGTATGAATGGAACTTACTCCATTGCTAGGGTCTCCTGGGAATTTCCACACAGTACAGTAGCAATGTTACCCATTGTTTAGACTCCTCCCATCTTCTGTTAGGAACCGAGCAGCCTCCAGGGTACTAGGTGGAGCTATCATCCCTAAAAGAGTTCTGGACAGTACCTTGTTTATGAGCACTAAATTTCCCCACATCTTACATGCCACCATAAAGCTGGCAAGTCAGTCAGCAACATGGAAGTCCTTGACTTCAGGAAAGCCAACTCTGACAAGCTCAGGAGGCTTCAGTGAGGCCCTAAGGGACCACGACCTCAGGGAGAAGGGAGTTCAAGAAGAGTGGTTGCTCCTCAAGGGAGCGATCCTCAATGCACAAAGCTAAGTCTATTCCATCTCAAAGGCAGCAAGAGGGCACAGCAGCCCCCCTCGCTCTCCAGGGACCTAGCAGACCTCCTGAGGCTAAAAACAAAGGCCTACAAAGGATGGAGGATGGGATTCATCTCCAAGAAGGATTATTCTGCACTGGTCTGGTCCTGCAGGGAGCAAACCAGGAAACCCAAGGCTGCAACTGAACTCCAACTAGCTTCAAGTATCAAGGACAATAAAAAGTCCTTTTTCAGATATGTGGGGAGCCGGAGGAAAAGCAAGGGCAACACTGGACCCCGGCTGAACCAGATGGGACATCTGACAACTGACACCCAGGAAAAAGCCAACCTATTACATGGGTACTTTGCGTTGGTCTTTCATCAGTCCCATGGGATGCCTATGCCTGCTACAGGACAGGGAGGTCCGGGTGAGGGAGATCCCCTGCTCTCCATTAATGCTGACCTTGTGAAGGAACACCTTGAGAAGCTGGATATTTTCAAGTCAGCCGGCCCTGACAATCTACACCCCAGGGAACTCAAGGAGCTGGAGAGCATCATAGCCCAGCCTCTGGCACAGATTTTGAAAACTCCTGGCACTCTGGTGTAGTGCCCAAAGACTGGAAGAAGGCCAATGTGGTGCCTATCTCCAAGAAAGGGTGGAAAGTGGATCCGGCTAACTATAGGCCCATCAGCCTGACTTCTATCTCAGGGAAGATCTTAGAAAAGTTTTATTAAAAAAGCCATCCTTAATGGACTGGCCGACGCCAACATCCTAAGGGATAGCCAGCACAGGTTTGTTGCAGGTAGGTCTTGCTTGACCAATCTCATTTCCTTCTATGACCAGGTGACCTATCACCTGGACAAGGGAGAAGAGATTGATGTCATATATCTTGACTTCAAAAAAGCCTTCGATCTGGTATCGCGTGATCACCTCTTGGCGAAACTGGCCAATTGTGGCCTTGGGTCCATCACGATCTGCTGGCTGGGAAATTGGCTCCATGGTTGGACCCAGAGGGTAGTAATTGA